AAATATATATAAATAAATATATATAAATAAATAAATATATAAATATATATATATATATATATATATATATATATATATATATATATATATATATATATATATATATATATATATATATATATATATATATATATATATATATATATATATATAGTATATATATATATATATATATATATATATATATATATATATATATATATATATATATATATATATATATATATATATATATGTCTGTGGGGAACGCTAACCGCTGGACCACCAGGATACTAAAAGCAGTCCTAGACTTTGTTATATTTCACACAAAGCCTGTTCAACGAGCTTATGGCGCCGTGAACCTCTAATGGGGACTACCCGTATCACGTAGGTGGTCAGAGTAACGTTTTACCAAATCCGGCTTCGAAACACGAGGATCCATATATATTTCATTAGCCCAATAAAGCACGCGGACTTCTACATACAATCAACACCTCAACCCGCCAGGATTCGAACCCACGGCCCACAAGCCTATGACTGTGACCGGGGAACGCTAACCGCTGGACCACCAGGATACTAAAAGCAGTCCTAGAATTTGTTATATTTCACACAAAGCCTGTTCAACGAGCTTATGTAGATTCCACGAAGCTCCTCGGCGTCACCATAGACAACAAACTAAATTGGAAACCACACGTCAGTGAAGTTGTCAAATTCTCCAGTTTCCGTCTCCACCTCCTCCGCCGACTCAAGTCCCTCGGAGTTCCTGCACCCGAGCTCCTCAGTGTTTACACAACATTCATACTTCCCAAGCTCACCTATGCCTCCCCACCTGGTCTTCCTCCCTAAATGCCACAACGTAAACACCTAGAAAAAGTGCAAAAGAGGGCATGCAAGATTATTCTCCCCCCTTCCTACTCCACATATCAAGAAGCGCTCAACACACTGACCCTTTCGACTCTCACTGACCATCACCACGACCTCATCTGCAAATTTGGTAAGAAGCTTCTACACCATCCTCGACACCGGCTCCTACTACCACCTGAGATCCCTAGCCCGAGAATTGCTGTTCGACACCACAACCGCATCCAGCCCATACGTGCACGAACTGATCGCTATAAGAACAGCCCAGTCCCAACCATTGTAAAATTATCAATAACTTGTAATAAACCAGTGTATTCACTCCCAGTAAACACTACTCCTTGCACTGTCACTATGTTGAAATGAACTGTAGTTTGAGCTTTTCCCCATCTAGTTATTATATGTCTTATTTGTGTCACTTATGCTACTTGTATATTATTTGTAATTCGAAACCCATTCCCCAAATATGTAACTGTATATTTTCAGCCTTCTGGCTGCCAAGCTCTTTCAATAAACCGTTAATTATTATTATTATTATTATTATTATTATTATTATATCAACACCCGAGGACGAGTTACTACACCACGTGATCACCTCATCACCTGGTTTCTCCATGACCAGCCCACGTCTGGGCCATCAACTGTAAATTATAATAATTTGTATGTTCAATCATTGTTCCTTCTTCTTTTAGTTATGAAAGCTTTTGTTAAACGACCCACCAACCCCATGTCTTTGTATGTAATAAGTCCTTTTTGTCTAATGTATATTTTCAACCTTCGGGCTGCCGATTTTTTCAATAAACCGTCAATTATTATTATTATTGTTAATATTACACACACACACACACACACACACCCACACACCCACACACTACATCCGTGACCACTGGAGGGTCACGATCTATTCGGCGCCTGCTCCTGTGGCGGTAGCTGCCCTTCACAATGTCGTCCCACTTCCCCAACCCCCTCCCCACAACCTCCTCCTCCCCACGAAGATGTCAAGAAAATCCCGCCAAAAGTAACAATTTTGATTCCGAAAAGAGTGAGATAAGTGTTGAACTGGAAACGATGCCTTAAATAAAGCAGAACAAATTTTACAGCATGGGAATTAATTTCCATTGGGTTATAGGAATGAAAAAAAAATTATCCCTATACATTAAAAACTTAATCTGTGTTTATCTCTATCTACTGTAAATATATATATATATATATATATATATATATATATATATATATATATATATATATATATATATATATATATATATATATATATATATATATATATATATATATCGGCCTGTGGTGTAATGGTTGGTTCTTTATGGTCACAGAAACTCAGTCGACCCTTATTTTAAGTCTGGGTAAGTCCAGTTTCACATGTTTAAGTTGCATGTTGAGCGTGAGAGTGCCTTGATGGGTAAAGTTGATGTGTCAACTGATCCATGAAGTTTGTTGATCAGTAGATCAGAATGGTAACAGTCTGCGGTACATGCTGGCCAACACATCATCAAGTTTATGTTATAATGGATTTGGAACAGCATGCTGAAGACGGTTTATTATTTGAAAATCAATATCCATTGGTTTGGAACCCACGATGAAGTGCAATAAAGTTGTTATTTACAAAAATCTTTTATATACTCGTAGCTATAAGTTGTCCTTTTGTGACTACTAAGATATAGGACTAATTTAAAGTACCAACAAGGTTTATATCTGAACGATAACTTACTAGAATGATTTCATATTTCTGTGGATTTTTTCAATGCATTATTATTAAATATGCTAAGGGATACTGAAGTTAATGGTCCTTCAGTTAGCTCGATTGTTTGTTTTTAGATCTACCTAAATTTTCTAAGTTATATGAACTTATTTTACTATGGTGTCATTTATTAGTACTGTACCCTTTTTATGGAGTGGTGACGGCACAAGGTAAATAAAATATGAAAGAATACTAACACTCTACAGCAATAGCTTTCATGTTTTGCAATGATTACATGTAGGCGCAGTTTGAAATCTTCCCAAACGTCAGTGTGGTGCTTCCTCTAGTCTAGAGCATTCCACTCAAGTATTAAATACATATGAGGATTGGGGGAGGCTTGGAGTGATCAACTTTGGTCTATGAAGATCACATAGCATGCATGTTACAGGAATTAAGAGGGGTGAGCTTTAATAATGAGCTAACTTTGCATTACTGCGAATGAATCTTATTTAAGTAAGTTTTTTAGTCAATTAGACACTATGTTTCCAGGTGATCATAATTCAGAGCTAGTTATAGTGTGGTAAAAGTTATTCATAAGTATCTTAAACTATTCACACGGCATCAAGAGTTCCTCGCCAGAAACAGTTTTCAGTTTCATTTGCAAATAACTATAGAAAGTTCCTTTAAGGTAAAGCAAAAATAATTATGAACTATATCCACTAATTATTGCTAGTAGTGATGAAGGATGGAACATTGTGAATTACATAACAACAAGTTTTCATAGTATCACAAGTAGATATCTCCTTATTCTCAAGTTTACCTTTTCACACTGTTTCTCCCACCAAATTGATATATCACCTATGTGTAAGTTAGTGGACATCTTAATCGTTCCTGAATTAATATTTACGAATGGAACACAAAACTACATTTTTTATCGGCCTTTCTATTTAATGGTAAAATGCCAGAACTTAATAAATGTGCTTCAGTTAATAAATTGTGAAGTTTAACTAAAGCTTCACCCTGGTAATATGTATCAAGCAATTCAACCAATAAAAATATCTCACACGTTTTGCACACACTCTGACATACTTGTACATAAAAACTTCTTCCTCCGTAGAATTATAAGAGGCTGGTACCATCGATCCTCTTTTCTATTCATTAGTTCATCCAGAAATAAAAAATAAAAAAAATACATAAAACAGCTTTCACAAGAGCACTTTAAAACGCACATTGTAGAAATTAAAACCTTCCCCCTTTCTCCGCAGTCAGCCACAACCAAACTCATCTACTCACCATTAATCGTTTATTACCAACAATAGATTCCCTGCACCCTTCCACCACATTTCACTCCGTTTTATGTCCTAAAACTATAAGGTTCCTCACTGTAACAATCGCGAGCAAGACTTTCAAAATTGTTCACACACGTGTTTCATAGTTTGTTTTCTTTTGAGATGTTCACACTAAAATCACTGTAAAATACTCTCATCATATATACTGAGAAATATTGTTTGTATTTAAGGGAATAAGTTTACAATTATCGCACAAGGAATCACTGGCAAACATCAGTAATATTTTGAAAATATTTTAAGAATGAGATAAAAACGACAGATTTGTTTTTATAGATTATATTTGGTTCGATAAAATATGGAGTATGCAACGTGTGCACCATGTAGTTGTGAACCACAGGACCCACAATTAAAAATTATAGTTATTGTTATCTCTGTCGAAGTTATAAAATATAAACAATCAGGTGATAAACCAAGCTTGATAAATAATCAATGTGATAAACCAAACGTGATCAACAAACACTACAATAAACTAAACCTGATGAACAATGCAATAAACCAAACATGATCATCAAACAATACAATAAACCAAAAATGATAAACAAACCATATGATATAAACACCATCTGATCAACACACCTTATGAAAAAAAGTGATAAGCATCTATTACAATTAACAAACCGAGTGGG